GCCACCACGTCGGGCTAGAATAGTTTTTTAATTAAAGTTTGTTTTGTCTGATAACATGGCTCTCTTTTGGTTATTAGTTCTATGGAATATCTCTTTCTATTCGTTGTTTCGACTTTTTTGTGTCTTTGAATCTAAAGTGAGTCTTTTTAGACAGCATATAATTGCATCATGTGTTCTTATCAATTTTGTTAATCTCTGCATTTTGATTGGAGAGTTTATGTCGTTTGTTTGAACTAATTAATAATAAGGAATGACTTACTTCTGCCAGTTTACTGTCTGTTTTCTGCATGTCTTATACATTTTTTATTCCTCATTTTTTCCATTATTACCTTCTTTTGTGTTTGTTTTTTTGTAGAATACCATTTGGACTCCCTTTTTATTTCCTTTTATATATATATTTTAGATACTTTGTGGTTACCATGGGGATTACAGTTAACACCTGGATATATTTTGAAGGTGTATCTGAAATTGTTAATTGACTGAATGATGAAAGTGAGAAAGAAAATCAAGGATAACAATAAGGTGTTTAGCCTGAGGACTGGAACAATGGAAAAGTGATTTATCAGGAACGAGAAAACTGTCTGAGGAGCTGGTGAAATGGGGAGATGAGAGAGAAATCAGGAGATCAGGTTCCGTCATGTTACACTTGAGATGCATGTTAGACACTGAAGTGGAAATACCAAGTAGGCAGTTGGATATACAAGTCTGAGATTCAGAAGAGAACTCCAGGCCAGAGACAGAAATGTGAGTCATGAATATAAAGATTGTACAGAAATCCCTTTAGCGTGGGCAAGTTCATCAAGGGAGTGAGTGTAGACTGGGAAATGAAGGATCCTTAGAACAAAGCTCAGGGTACCCCAAGAAGTCATGAAGGAATGGATAACTCACAAAGATGAATTAAAGAGAGTAGTTTATATGTTTCATATGTTTGTAATAAGTTCTATCATTTCTTGGCATAGGATAATTCCACATAAAACCGTTTTTTCTTTTTTTTTTAATCAATATTTTTTATTATGGTTTTGTGGGGTACAGTTTAGGGTTAGGTATACAAATACGTTTCATTCAGGCACCCTGTTGTTAAGAGGTGTTTCCCCATCCCCAGACAGATATTTGCTACCATTAATCCCATCTCCCTCCCCCCCATAGTTTCCCACTACTGTCAGTCATTCTCTTATAGTATTACATTGGATGTTCAAGGTCCATTATATGAGTGAGAACATGTGATACTCGGATCTTTGTTTCTGTGAGAGGTCACTCAGTATTATAGACTCTAGTTCCATCCAGGTTGCTGCGAAATTCATGATTTTGTTCCTTTTCTGTTTTTTCTTACAGTTATATCCAAACAAGGACAGTGGTCCTAAATTTGGTTTCAAGGACAGTTATAGTTAGATATCATTTGGATATTCTTAAATATAAATAAATATGGTAGGTGAATTGGTTAGTCATACATAATTCCTCCTCTGCCACATGATCCCATTTTAGAAATACTACTTTTATTAAGTCTATCTAATTTTATTTCTTTTAATCATTCATATATTTGCTTAAAGATTACTGATGAAATAATTCTTTGCTTTGATACTTAGTGGTCCAGAATTATATTATTCATTGGGATGTAAGTATGAAAGTTATTATATAGTCAGAACTGGATAAGGCATTCCCCACAATGGTTTTTTCAGAAAAAAAAAGTCTAAGGAAAATATCATAGAGGTAGAGACTCGTGGCCAAAGAAATAAACAAATCCATAAAAATAGAAATGGCTGTTCTTTCTCCAGCTTGTCACCTCATCCCTGTGAGGTCTAAAGGTGCCAGGGTGCAGGGGAGGAGGAAGGGCTCCTAACTGCTTCCTCAGCCTCTGTATCTGAGTTGGTAACATTCCAACTCTCCCACTGGCACACCTTGGCCATAGTGGACTGAATGTGGATTAAATCATACTCAGTTTCATTGCGTTTACTCAGAATCTCTCCTTTTCTCTTACCTTCAGCCCTAATTTATGGGATACTATAGATGATTTTTTTTTCCTTCAATATGTTGTGTATAAAGAACTCCCATCAGTAACTTTGTACATTTTTACTTCCTTATGGGAGCTAAGTAGAAAAAGAGAAGGGGAAGCATAGGAGGGTGTTTTTTTTGTTTGTTTGTTTGTTTAAGGTTTCTGTTCTTCTTTGACTGTCTTTTTGTTATTTACAACTTTTTAAAAATTGAAAGAAGGCCAGGGTGTGATGGGTCATGCCTATAATCCCAGCACTTTGGGAGGCCAAGATGGGAGGATTGCTTGAGCCCAGGAGGTTGACACCAGCCTAAGCAACATAGCAAAACCTCGTCTTTACAACAAACAAACAAACAAACAAATCAGAAACTTAACCAGGTGTGGTGAACACACCTCTAGTTCCAGCTACTTGGGAGGTAAAGCAGAAGGATCACATAAGCCCAGGAGGTCGAGGCTGTAGTGAGCCATGGTTGTGTTACTGTACTCCAACCCCTCCCAAAGATTTTTAAAAGAAAAATTTTAAAAGTCTGAATGCCTGCTGTAGAGACAGAAGTCACTGCAATTTGTCACCTAGATTATACCAGTAACCTCCTAACTGATCTCCTCCATGTTCACCCTTGTTCCCTTATGATTTATTCTCAACATAGCAGCTATCATGACACTGCTCTACTGAAAACCCTGCTGTGGCTCCCCATATGATTCTCAATAGAAGTGAGATTTCTTACAGTGGCCTCTTAGGCTTGTTGGACCTGGCGCCCCATTTCCTCTCTGACCTTTTCTGCTTGCTCCCTGCTCTGGCCATGCCAGTCTCCTTGCCAGTCACACATCATCATTAGCGCCTTCGCTCTAGCTGATGCCCTGCCTGGTCAGTGTCTTCCCTCGGGAATCTGCTTGACTGATATGGTCACCTCCATCCAGTCTTGCCTTGGATCTCAGCTTCCCAAAGAAACCCACACTAACCGTTCTCTAGTTAATACTGGAACCTGCCTCACTTCTCCCCTGATGTTCATGATCCTGTTTCCTTTTTTTTTTTTTCCTTTTTTTTTTCTTTTGAGTCAGAGTCTCACTCTGTTCCCCAGGCTGGAGTGCAGTGGCATGCTCACAGCCACCACAGCCTCGATCTACTGGGCTCAGGTGATCTCCTGCCTCGCCTTCCAAGTAGCTGGAACTGCAGGCACGTGCCACCATGCCCAGCTAATTTTTTTGCTTTATTGTAGAGATGAGGTCTCACCAAGTTGCCCAGGCTGGTCTTGAACCCGTGGGCTTAGGCAATCCTCTCACCTCGTACTCCCAAAATGCTGGGATTATAGGCATGAGCCACTGTGTCCAGCCTCATGATCCTATTTCTGTTTCTGTTTTAATTAAGGTAAGCTTGGTTATGCTGTGGTAATGACTTAATCCCCAAATCTCAGTGACTTAGCACACCAAAGACGTCTATCTCATTGGTGTTGCACATCCCTTATGGTTAGCAAGCAGCTTTGGCCACATACAGCTTCAGGAATGCAGGCTGATGGAAGCTTGCTTGTCTTGAGATGTATCTCAACATGTGGCTTCCCAGGATCACATCTGTAGGAAAAAGAGAGTTCAAAGAATGATTGAAAATGTCATAAGTCACTGTTGCCCCCAACTCATTGGCCAAAACTAGTCGCATGACCCCAATTTAACTGCCAGTGAGTCTGAAAATGTCAGAGGAGTGCAAGGAATGTTAATGAGCACTGCTGTTTCTTTTTTTTTTTTTTTGAATTGGAGTCTCACTCTGTTGCCCAAACTGGAGTGCAGTGGCCGCTCCCGGCCACCGCAGCCTCACCTGCTGGGCTCCGGCGATCCTTCCGCCTCAGCCTTCCAAGTAGCTGGAATTATAGGCATGCGCTACCACGCCCAGCTGATTTTTTGATTTATTGTAGAGATGAGGTCTTGCTGCCCAGGCGGGTCTCGAACCCGCAGGCTCAGGCAATCCACACACCTCAGCCTCCCAAAGGCGCAGGATTACAGGCTGAGCCACCGAGCCCGGCTGCTGTTTCTTTAATACCTGTTCTGTTTTTATTTTTTCCATACTACTTCACAGATTTTTATTATATAATCCATACATTTTATATCATGTGTATGTATTTATACATCATGTAGTTTGCATGTTTTGTGTTTACTATTTAGTGCCTCCTCCAGCAAGAATAGAAACTTATTCTTCCAGAAATTCACATACTCGCAGTTCCTTGCACACAAATCTTTGCTCATGTTGTTCCTGCTGTTTGTGATACTCTCTATCTTTTTTTACCCCATCCTTTCTCTTTCGTTTCTCTGATGAAACCCTACTCATGATTGGGCATGATGGCTCACGCCTATATAATTCCAGCACTTTGGGAGGCTGAGGTGAGAGGATTGCCTGAGCCCACGGGTTTGAGACCAGCCTGGGCAACTTGGCAAGACCTCATCTCTACAATAAAATTTAAAAATTAGCAAGGCATGGTGGCATGTGCCTGTAGTTCCAGCTACTTGGAAGGCTGAGGCTGAAGGATCACCAGAGCCTAGCAGGTTGAGACTGCGGTGGTCATGAGCATGCCACTGCACTCCAGCCTGGGTGACAGTGAGACTCCTACTCAAAAAAAAAAAACACCTACTCATCTTTCAGGACAAGTTGAATCTTACTTAATCTGGGAGGCCTTATTCACATCCTAAGCGTAGTTAAATGCTCATCTTTCAGGCTCTCTCTGAATTTTTAGTCTAGTCCTGTCACAGCACTGACCTCATTATACGGTTACATGTCTGCCTGCCTCATTAATTCAAGTTGCTCATGCATGTGGAAAACCACTTAAGAAATAGGTAGAACCTAGAAAGAAACTATGCAGATCTGAGCAAGAGCAGTATATGTAGGAATGAGAAGAGAAGCCCCATCAAGGAACAGGTAGATGGTAAAATTAGCATGACTTGGTTATTATTGGTTGAAATGAGGGATAAGGAAGGAATCGGGGAAACCCCATGTTTCTCATTTAGACTCTGTGGTTTGTGCTATTCCCAGGTGAAACAGGGACTATGAGAGGAGAAACTCGGTTCTTGTTGATGAGTTGCACTTCATTGGGCATGCATTCCGTTCTGGTAATGATGAGCCCAGGAGTTGGGTGTGAGGTGTGGTGGGCGTAGTTCCACGGTACCTCCAGGAGGAGAGGTGCTGCCACTGGCTATGTGATTCTTGAACACAAGGAAATGGGTAGGTCTTTGGCATTCCTACACAGTAGCTAAAAAATAAGAAAGCATGAGACTGCCAGTAACTACTAAGGACAGAATTCTTCTTTAAACTAAGTTTTAAGGAATAGGAAGAAGAAGGTATGCTCTTGTGGGGAAACAGAAAAAAATAAGTGGAGAAGTGGGAGCCGGAGAGTGTGACCCTGTGACTATCAAGGGTATTCAGAGTTTTAAGAAGAAAGTGGAGGGCCATGTTAAGTGTAGTAGAGAAGACAAATCAACTGTGCCTGTAGTCCCAGCTACTCAGGAGGCTGAGGCAGGAGGCTCGCTTAAGCCCAGGAGTTCGAGACTGTAGTGCACAATGATCATGCCTGTGAATAGCCACTGCACCCCAGCCTGAGCAACACAGTGAGACCCTGTGTCTAAACATAAAAAAACAAACAAAAATTTGGAGGCTAGATATGGTGGCTCATGTCTGTAATCCTAGCACTGTGGAAGGCCAAGCCTGGAGGATTGCTTGAGCCCAGGAGATTGACCAGCCTAAGCATCATAGTGAGACCTTTTCTCTACCAAAAAATAAAAAAATCAGCCAGGCGTGGTGGCACACCTGATCAGTCCCAGCTACTCAGGAGACAGAGGGATGTGGATCCCTTCAGCCTAGGAGATCGAGGCTATCATGAGCTGTGATCATGCTAGTGCACTCCAGCCTGGACAACAGAGTGAGACCCCAAGTCAAAAAGAAAACAAAAACACAAAACTGTATACTAAATCTTTACCACTGTTCTTACAACCTTATTAACTCCCTTACTCCCGTCTTTCAACCCCACTTCTCCAACTTCCTTGGTTTCATTGAGAAATTTGAAGTCATCAAGTATCAACTGTCCCAAATGTGTATTCCTTTCTTCCTTTATAAACTTACCACCATGCCCATCCATTCTTTTCTCCTTCCCTCTCATCTGACATTCATAGCCAACTCTTCCACTAGTGCCATTGATACCAAGCGTTGTCTACACCTTCTGCTTATGCTGCTTCTCTTTTTGTGGACTCTGCTCCCAGTATTCCATCAGACTTTTCTCTGTAAGGTTACCCTTTGAATTCTTAGTGAATGGAGCAAAAGTGGAAAACTACATACAAGGCACTGAATATTGAATGCAAGGTGGGGGAATGTCACCATAATTGCAGATGGCGGTCACTGATGGAAGTGAGAGGGAGACAATGACAGTCCTCTCTGGGAAGTGAAGACCTTACATGGCCCGGATTTGGGGCCTGTTCTTTTTTTTGTTAGTTGGAGTCTCACTCTGTCACTCAGACTGGAGGGCAGTGGCACGCTCCCAGCCACCGCAGCCTTGACCCACTGGGCTCCGGCGATCCTTCCACCTCAGCCTTCCAAGTAGCAGGAATTATAGGCGTGCGCTACCATGCCTGGCTAATTTTTAATTTATTGTAGAGATGAGGTCTTGCCAAGTTGCCCAGGCAGGTCTTGAACTCGTGGGCTAAGGCAATCCACTCACCTCAGCCTCCCAAAGCTCTGAGAGTATAGTCTGAGCTACCGAGCCCAGCGGGTCCTGTTCTTAAGGCTCTTCCATGTTGGAAGCCGTATTAAAAGTATGTCTTCTACCTGTCTTGCTTCTACAGCATGTCAGTGATGGAATCTTTACTGCAGTATCAAAAGTGAGCCAGTTCCCACCACAAGGAATGCAGAAACATGAGATTTCGTTTATTTGTTTGTTCATACAAAAGTATTTCTTGAATGTCTGCTCTGTGCTGTGTTCAGGGTTGGGGCTGGGAGTACAAGGAGAAGGAAAAACACACAGGTCTCGTTTTAATGGAGTTTATAGTACAGTGATGTGGTTTGTGTGTGCTTGTTTCTAATTTAATTTAACTAATTTCACTTTTTTTCTTCTTTAGTACCCTCTTATATGTGGGCTGATTCTTATTCCCTGCTGGTGTTCCCTAGTTTGCCTGAGTAGAATTTACATGGGGATGCACTCCATTCTGGTAAGGAAAATGTGTTCTTATTGCTTTATTTTTTATGACATTGACAGCAATTTTACAATTTTTAATCATTTGCAAACTTATATGAAACCTAAATGAGAAAGTATGGTTATTTTAAATCTGTGTTTGAGCTCTACTTCTCTTTCCCTCTCAGCATTTTGTTGTTGTTTGTTTTTGTTTGTTTTTTTGAGACAGGGTCTCACTCTGTCACCCAGGCTGGAGTGCAGTGACATGATCATAGCTTACCACAGCCTCAAACTCCTGGGTTCAAGCAATCCTCCCGCCTCAGCCTCCTGAGTAGGTGGGACTGTAACCATTGTGTCTGGCTCACATCAAATGTTTTATTTTGAGAATTCAGTTCCACAAGCAGCAGTGCAGGGACCCTGCACTATTTTCAGCCACACCTGCTCACTTCCCTTCCTCTCTGTCCCTGTCCACACCTTCTTAGTTCTGGCCTGTAGCATATCTTGACGAGATGACTGCAACAGCATCTTCATCAGTAGTCCAACTTTCAGTTTGACACTGCTGCATCCAGTTTTCAGTCTCCTGTTTAGTGGACTTTCCAGAGCACAAACATGATGCCTCTGCTGAATTGCTTGTGTTTCCTCAAATGCAGAGGGTGATTCTTCCAGTGATAACTTGAAGAATGCTGTCCCTTTGCTTAGAGTGCCCTTTTCACTGTTTCTGCCTTCACTCTCCCATTTTTCAAGACTCACGACAAATGCTCTTAGCCCTAAAAGCCTCCTTACCTTCCCCACCTTCCCTTTCTCAGTACTGGCTAGGCAACACTTCTCCCACTTGCCCTAAATTATGATGGCTTTTTTCCTTATTTGTCACCTGCACTGGTCTGTAAGTTTCTTAAGAACAGTAACTGTATTTCATCTCTCTCCTCGGCATCTGTGAATGGATTATGTATTATCATGTAGATAAAGGACCAGAAAAAAAGGTGGAGAAATATGAACTAATTCAGAGAATCTTAAAATTTCTAATGGTTTATACCAATTTTTTCTTGTTTTTAACAACTTGACATTTTAGAATTTTTTTACTCATAACATCTTATTAACTTGTTTCATAGCTATAGCAATATTGGTTTCAATTTTTTACTCACATTTCTTGTCTCCCATAGCTGACCCTTCACAAGTACATTTTCAGAAGTCCCAAACAGTATTTTAATAAGCAAATTGTGTTTGACTTTTTATAATTGTCTATGCTTAAAGCAAATTGAATTTACATACAATTCTATCTTTCTGACTAATTCCTATAATTTTATGATCAGACTATTCGATTTTTGTGTTAAATTCAATATTTGTCACAAGAAAATATAATCTATTCTCTGTATCTTGTTAGTTATTCCCCTCCACCCCCAAAAGTTAGCAGTACCACTTCTAAAACCCACATAATGATTGTGCATATTTGTGTAATAAAAAATAAATCTCTAATATTTTTTGGAGGAAAAGATATTGGATACTAGATTCATTATTGTTATACAAAGAGGAACAAGAATCTGTATGATTACCTTGAATATGTAATCTCAACGTATTGTTCTTTTTAAAAGATGAAATTTTTAGCCAGACACGGTAGCTTACACCTGTAATTCCAGCATTTTGGAAGGCAGAGATGAGAGGATTGCCTGAGCCCAGGGGTTTGAGACCAACTTGGGCAACTTGCGAGACCTCATCTCTACAATAAATCAAAAAATCAGCCGGGCTCGGTGGCTCAGCCTGTAATCCCACACTTTTGGGAGGCTAAGGTGAGTGGATTTCGAGCCCACAGGTTCGAGATCAGCCTGGGAAAGTTGGTGAGATCGCATTTCTAAATAGATCAAAAAGTAGCCGGGCGTGGCAGTGCACCCCTGTAATTCTGGCTACTTGGTAGGCGGAGGCAGAAGGAGTGTCTGAGCCCAGAGCGTCGATGCTAGGATGGCTGTGAGCGTGCCACTGCACTCTAGCCTGGGTGATAGAGTGAGACTCCGACTCAAAAAGAAAGGTTAACCAGGCATGTTGGCGCATGCTTATGGTTCCAGTTGCTTGGAAGGCTGAGCCAGAAGGATTGCCTGAAACCAGCAGGTTGGGGCTGAGCCTGGGCAACAGAGTAAGACTCCTACTCAAAAAAAAAAAAAAGAAATTTTTAGTTGGGTTGATCATATATCCAGGCTGGGTTCAGTTCAATATTTTATATTCTGGACAACATTTATTCTTGAATCAGCTGTCATAAAAACAATGTTGTATTCTTTTTCAAATCATGAGTCTGGTAAACTCTAGTCCCTTAGCTATTCGAAGACCATTTTGTCCCATAGAATGTCTTATTACTTTTATTGACATGCTACTGAATTTCATTACATGTTTTATTTTTTCTTTTAAAAGTAGTATTGGGATAACTTGCAATTATTATAAATTATAATTATGTGCATAACTATGACTAATAACATTTTGTTCTTATTTGTGTTTCGATAATTGCTACTTGAAATTATGCCCACAATGATCCAGTTTTTTTAACATTATGAGTCCAATATATTTCCACAATTTATACACTTACCTGGTTTTTTTTGTTTTTGTTTTGAGTCAGAGTCTCACTCTGTCATCCAGGCTGGAGTACAGTGACTAGCTCACGGCCACCACAGCCTTATCCTCCTGGGCTCAGGCAATCCTTCCACTTCAGCCTTCCAAGTAGCTGGAACTACAGGTGTGCATCACTATGCTCAGCTAATTTTTTATTTATTTGTTTTAGAGATGAGGTCTTGCCAAGTTACCCAGACTGGTTTTGAGCCCATGGGCTCAGGCAATTCTCTCGCCTCCACCTCTCAAAGTGCTGTGATTACAGGTGTGAGCCACTGTGCCCGGCTTCCTATGTTTTAATATTTTGGTAATTACCTGCATTTGAACTATTTTAAAAAGCATAATTGGTGTCTTCATTGTTAATTATGAAATTAACATGGAATTATAAACAGTGCATATGTACAAATCATTAATAGGTTATTAGAGACGATATTGTCTAAGCTGATATCATTATTGACGTTAAAAGGAGAGCTCTAGTGATGTGATATAATTTCTAATGAATGCTTTATTCAATATTTGCCAAATGCTTTATTGTTATTTTTACACTACAAATAACTTAGCCTATTTTTAATATCTGTCTACATTTCTAACTTGATTTAATTAATCTCTACCAAAGCAAAGAAGATTACTACATCCATTTTCTTCATATATTATTAAGCCTAGCCCTCAAAAATGAAATTCCTTAAAGTAATACACACACACACAAATAAAGTAATAACCAGCCTTTCTTTTTTTTTTGAGTTGGAGTCTCACTCTGTCGCCCAAACTGAAGTGCAGTGGCATGCTCCCGGCCACCGCAGCCTCGACCTGCTGGGCTCTGGTGATCCTTCTGCCTCAGCCTTCCAAGTAGCCGGAATTACAGGCTCACGCTACCATGCCCAGCTACATTTTAAAGTTACTAAACTAAGTACTTGACAAATTACTATCTGGTTTCTTACATTAGTAAAATTATGAATATATTATAATTACATTTACCGAAAATTATATTAAATGTTTATATGAATATCAGTCAATCAGTGTATTTTTATTTTTTTTAGACAGGGTCTCACTCTGTAGCCCTGAGTAGGTGCAGTGGCATGATCCTGCCTCACTGCAGCCTCAACCTCCTGGGCTCAGGCAATCCATCCACCTCAGCCTTCCGAGTAACTGGGACTACAGGCACATACCACCATGCCTGACTAATTTTTGTACTTTTTTTTTTTTTTTTTTGAGTTGGAGTCTCACTCTGTCGCCCAGACTGGAGTGCAGTGGCCACTTCTGGCCACTGCAGCCTCGACCTGTTGGGCTCCGGTGATCCTTCCACCTCAGCCTTCCGAGTAGCCGGAATTACAGGCATGCGCTACCACGCCCGGCTGATTTTTTGATTTATTGTAGAGATGAGGTCTCGCTGCCCAGGCAGGTCTCGAACCCGCGGGCTCAGGCAATCCACTCACCTCAGCCTCCCAAAGGCGCGGGATTATAGGCTGAGCCACCGAGCCCGGCTTGTACTTTTTTTTTGTAGAGACAAGGTCTTGCTATGTTGCCCAGGCTGATCTCAAACTCATGGACTCAAGCGATTCTCCCATCTCAGCCTTCCAAAGTGCTAGGATTACAGGCGTGAGCCACTGTACCTGGCCAATAAATATATACATATTAATATGTATATGTAGAAAATATTTTGAGAAAAGTATTGTGAGAATATAAAAGACTCTCATAAAGTATATATAAAGAATATGCCTCTTAAACCCATTTTTATGACAAGTAAAAATCAAACCAACCAAAGTAACTAAAACATGTTATAGAGAAAAATCTGTAACAGTGAACAGAACTTTAACAGTAGTAATTGCTAGGTAAAACGTCTTGTTATTATTTATCTGTATTTTTTAGTTTTTCTACAATGAGCATGTAATTATTCATTAAAGGAGATAGAAGCTTCAAAAACAATCCTTAATAATACTTTTATAAACAAAATCAATGCATTGCAGCAATACATTTTGTTGTCAGAAACCCTGTTGGTGTCACTGGCATATTGAAATTTGAACCAGGACACATGAAATATATTACAGTTAAGACAAAAACATGGCGTAGTGGCTCACATGTGTAATCTCGGCATTTTGGGAGACAAAGATGAGAGGATTGCTTGAGCCTAGGAGTTTGAGACCAGCCTGGACATAGTGAGATCTCTCCTCAACAATAAACCAACAAATTTGCTAGGCGTGGTGGTACACGCCTGCAGTTTCAGCTACTTGGGAGGCTGAGGCAGAAGAATCGCCTGAGCCTAGGAGGTCAAGGCTGGGGTGAGCCATGATCCTGCCGCAGCACTCTAGCCTTGGCGACAGAGTGAGACCACCCCCCACTCAAAATAAAAATAAAAACAAAAACCCACTAGGAGACAGGAGACCTGAATTACAGTCTCAGTAAATTACTTGCCTTTCTTGGTCTGTTTTCTGATCAGGAGAAATGAAAAGGAGAAAATTCCAGATTTCATATATAAGAAATTTTCATTGAATTTATGGTACTGAATATTTTCTACTGTAAATTTGATGATACTCTATTTGAATATGTAATTACTTATTAGCAAATTTGAGGTCATAACAATTATTTATAATAACAAATATCTAAAATTATTTACTGACTTCCCTTTTCAATAATTTGCTACTTTGAGCTCTTTATGTTACCCTTATTGTTTATTATTGCATACTTTGTGCTCTAATGCTTAACAACCACTTTAGAGGCCAGGCACAGTGGCTCACATCTGTAATCCCAGAGCTATGAGAGACTGAGGCAGGAGGATCACTTGAGGCCAGGAGTTTGAAACCAGCCTGGGCAACATAGTGAGACCCTGTCTCTACAAAAAATTAAAAAGTTTACTGGGCATGGTGGTGTATATCTGTAGTCCTGCTACTTGGAAGGCTGTAGTGGGAGGATGCGTTGAACCCAGAAGTTGAAGGTTATAGTGAGCTCTGATTGAACCACTGCACTCCAGCCTGGCCCACATGAGACATGTTTCTAAAACTAAAGAAATCTATTTAGCTATGAATTTTAATATTATTTGTTATATTGGTATCACAATGATAGCCATCATGTTTATGTCTAAATTTTATTGTTCTTTCTGGTTCTTTTGGATGGATGCCCTTTCTATCTAGGGTAATATAAATCATTAATAACTTAAACAGAAAAGGAAGCAATTTTTATAATTTTTGTAGCAACCTAAGTTTAATATTCATGGAACTATACAAAAATAGTAGAGGAAAACAAATACTGAATTTATTTTTGTCATACTGAAATATACTTTGAAAGTTTAATTGATACAAGAGAAGTTATCATTTTAGAGAATTCTTAATTTTTTTTTAACTAAGCCAAGAACTTCCAGTTTTATTTTTTAAACATTATTTAACAAGAAAGACATTCAACCAAATGTTAAAAAAATTAGACTGGATTAACTTATAATAAAATAATCAACTTAAAATACCAGTCCTTTCATTTAGGGCCCAGGAAACCAATCATTCCCATTTACACAGCAGAATTGCACAATTGATATTTTAAGCTATATTTGATGGCACAGAAATATGAGAGAATTCTTAATGTTCAAGTGATCAGATGTTAAAAAAATTTAAAGACATTTAATAATTTTGTTTCATTTTAGGGTACTGTAAAATATTTTACAAAATTGAGCAGGTACTTATATCTATAATATGGAAAAAAGTAATTAAAAATAACTAATTTCAGAGCTATCAACCCTTCCATTCACTTAATCTTAGAGTAAATGTTCTGTATGGTTTTATATAAATAATTCATCAATTATCATTTATCTAAAACATCTAACTTTGTACATGTTGTACATGAGAATTACAAAGCTCAGAACATTTCCACATAAGCATTCAACTTGAAATTTTAAATCACTGATGAAATTTAAAATAAAAAAATAAAGCAACACCTTCTGTCCTTGCAGCTAAAATCCTGTAGGTATCTCCCATTGTCCTGTTTTAGTTTCTTTGTAATCCTAATAACTATCTGGAATTGTAATATTTGTTTGCTTTCTAACGTGGTTATTGTCAGTCTGTCCCACTAAAATATAAATATAAGGTCTGTGACAGCAGCAATCTTGTCATTTTTTTAAATACTCCTAAAATAGTGCCAAGTACATGTAGATGCTTGGTAAGTGGTTGTTCAGTGAATGAATGGATAGATGAGAGTTGGAAACAACCTGGGACTTGTATCATCTGTGATTGTGGAAATAACTGCATATTAAAAACATGAAGATGACGACCATTTATTTGAATGATAAGTACATTCTTTTTCCCAGAAATCAAAACTATACAATTCAAGTATAGTTTATTGTTCAGGATTTGAATACAAAATTGTGTATATTATATATGTAGTTAATAGTAAAAGGGTAAAACTATGAAAGATTTTATTATCAAATCTTTGTACTGTCATTAAAACAAACAATGGTCAATTACTGAAGTTTACTCTGAGAATTTGACACTTTTAAAGATTTATGTCTATTCAGTTTTTGACCTGTCAGACATGCATTATTTTTTTAAATGCCAAAAATGTTTACCATTATACTAAACAACTATACTTTTATCTTTTCCTAGGATATTATCGCTGGATTCCTATATACTCTTTTAATCATGGCTGTCTTCTATCCGTTTGTGGACCTGATTGACAACTTCAACCAAACTCACAGATATGCTCCATTAATCATCATCGGTCTTCATTTAGCTTTGGGGATCTTTTCTTTCACTCTTGACACCTGGAGCACATCCCGAGGAGACACAGCTGAGATTCTGGGAAGTGGTGCTGGAATTGCATGTGGATCTCATGTTACTTATAACATGGGTCTAATGTCAGATCCTTCTCTCGATGTGTTACCTTTAGCGAGGCCCCCGATTACTGTGACTCTGTTTGGAAAAGCCATATTGCGGATCCTCATAGGGATGGTATTTGTACTCATAGTCAGAGATATAATGAAAAAGATCACCATCCCTTTAGCCTGTAAAATCTTCAACATCCCGTGTGATGACATTCGAAAAGCAAGACAGCACATGGAAGTTGAGCTTCCTTATCGGTATATTACCTACGGAATGGTTGGTTTCTCCATCACATTTTTTGTTCCTTACATATTTTTCTTGATTGGTATCTCTTGATGGAGAAATATTGTTTATGATAAGAAAGGAGAGTATCAGTTACTGATATCTAAAAATACATTCAAGGTAAAAGCCAGATCAGAGTTAGGCTTTTGCAGGAATTTAACTTAAATATTTAAGTAAATTCATACGAGTCAGTGCATTTTATTATTGCACATCAGATATTGTTTTAGGTGAGCTGAGCTATTTCAATACTGAGAAAATGATAAGTATCCATTTAGAGTGCTCATGTAATGTTTGGAGAGTTTTGTGCTGTTATGGAGTCTAGTTATATATAATATATATTAAGATACATAATATGCAATTGTATATCTAATATATGTTATATATAAAATAATATACCTAAGTTTTTTTTAAACTTTGGGGGTGTATTATAAAATCTATAATAATATGCAAAAAGTTGTGCCTGTGTATTTGAACTAAATACAGGTATGTTGTTATTAACAAATATAGTTAACCTTTATTTCCTATGGGAGACATTTCCTGATTGAATTGCAAAATTACTAGACCAGAATGCTTCTACCACCACACATTGATTTACTGCCTCTTTTTACACTGCCGTCACCTTTCATGTCACCCATGATGTTGAACATGGGAGGCATTTTTAAAGGACCAAATTTTCAGAAAAATTAGTTTTGGGATTCATCTTTTTTTTTAAATTCTGTATACTGTTTTGAATGTACTTTATTTGCAACTGTTCTGGACATCAGTTTAATAATTCAGGTACTGAATTTTATTGCTTGCTAATTGTGCCTTTCTGTTGCTGAATTTTAAAATGCCATGTGTACTGTGATATAAAAATAAGACATTAACTTTACGTTACCTATAATCAGGCAAATATTTTTAAAATGTATGTCAAGCTAACAGGCATAGAGGTAAACTATCCTCAATTCTTTAGCCATTATTTAGAAGAAATATGGAATGGGCTAAACTTCCTCACTAATTTATTGGAAAGCTAAATGGATAAATATTTCCCTTTTTTGTAGGTATTTTTGTGTGCATTGTAAGTTATAGGAACAAGATATATTTTTTGTACATTGTCTTGATTGTTTATACTGCAGGTAGATATTTCCAGTGAATGGAAATGTAGTTGAAATTTATAGGTGGGACAATGCACATGCTTCGTATGTAAACACTGCGTTTTTCTAAATTATTTGGACAGGATTGCATTTAGCACTGTTAACTTGTACTACTCATTTATTAGCTACTCAAGGTAAATTATAAAATCTCAAATTAGTGTCAGAATTTTAGTTCCTATTATTTTTCATCTTTTTATTATTTTCACGGTGGAAAATTTGGGTATAGTAGTAAACTATTCTTTTTCTGTCTGTGCCTTTATATTTTGAAGTGTGCTTGTAATTAGGTTAACATTAAGTTTATTTGTAGAAAGCTTTTTCCTAAAGAAGAGGCTTATCTTTCCATATAAATGAACATCAGGTATGGAATTACTGATTTTAGTGCAATATCTATATGATTATCCAGAAATATGACTTAAGATGTTTCTATTTTGGGCACCATTAACTATCTGAGCTCATATTTTTATAGTTCTGATTGAGAATGTGGGGGATGGTAACTTTTACCAAAACTGAAATTGATAATTTTAAGTAAAACAACTAAATTTACCCTTTACCTATTAATTAAAAGGAAAAAGTCACTTAGGAACATATCGGTACATTGGAAAACATGAAAAGCACTTTTCTTTCAAAATGTGTGCTTAATGAATTGAATTTTAGGGACTGTTTCCCAAACTTTGGGTCTATGTTATCCTATTAATTTTTATGTCTAGCTTAAAAGGTATTTGAAAATATTCTATTTGCGTTTTATTATTTTCTGTCCTGTGACAGTTCTATGCTAAATGTATTTTAAAATAAAAGCCAAATTCACGATTGAAGAAGGTTTTGGGGTTTTTCTGTTGTTTTTGTTTTGTCTCCTAGGCAGTTATCTTTGTTGTAGCTGGTAGAGATTTTTAAAAATATGTCTAGGATTTTCATTCTAGCATGCTTTTACTCTGAAGCATTTTCTTAAAACAAAGTTCTGTTTTTAGCAATGTGAAAATGTTGAAGAACTTCATTAAAGTTCAAACTGGCTTTTGATACCATTTATGTTTATTTCTTTCTTTTCTTTTTTTTTTTGAGTTGGAGTCTCACCCAGTCGTCCAGACTGGAGCGCAGTGGCCGCTCCCGGCCACCACAGCCTTGCCTGCTGGGCTCCAGCGATCCTTCCGCCTCAGCCTTCCGAGTAGCTGGAATTACAGGCGCGCGCTACCACGCCTGGCTGATTTTTTGATTTATTGTAGAAATGAGGTCTCGCTGCCCAGGCGGGTCTTGAACCTGCAGGCTTAGGCAATCCACTCACCTTAGCCTCCCAAAGGCACGGGATTACAGGCTGAGCCACCGAGCCCAGCTTATGTTTATTTCTAATATACCTTTAGCAAAAAGTTATATATTTCCCTTTAAAAAAACTTGTGCATTAAAAAATGTTTCAGTAAAATCTGTGGCTAAATGGTATCGTAGGAGTTTACTGCCATTCCATGAAGATCAGGAATTAATCATAAAATTAGGAACAGATACTTTTTCAAGCAGAATAAAAGCATATGGACATTGTATTTTGTGTTTTTTGAAATGCCATCTGCTAGAAACTGATTATAAGACCTATAGGACACCTGCATAATGAACATTTGTATGCCTAACCCTGAATTGGACCCCACATCTTTAAAATAAAGAAAAAAGAAAAAAAAAGAAAATATAGGAAGAAGTTGATACCAATATAAATGTATATATGAGTAAATAAATAAAGTAAAAAAAAAAGACCTACTATAAAGCAGAACTACTTCAAGATTGACATAATTATTTCATTTTGTAGCTTTCTTTACAAATAACATTTATTAGACGTATCTTTCAAAGACAACATAAATTAATTCAGTATGTATTATAAAAAATAAAAATAAAATAAATTAAAAAATAATTCCGTGAAATAACTATAATTTAAAGGCAGATTTTTACAAAACACTCAAGATGAATAAATACTAAAGTGTTTTAAATTTTAAAATATAATCACAATTTTAAGCAGCAAAGATATTTTTATAGCTGAAATAATTTCATTTTTGTTAGCAAAGAATATTTATTCTAGATTCAAAATTGTATTAGCTGAGCATTGTAGCATGTACCTGTAGTCACAATTCTCTGGAGACTGAGACAAGGATCACTTAAGCTCAGGAGGTTGAAGCTGCAGTAAGCCTTGATTGCATCATTGCACTCCAGTCTGGGCAATAGTGCAAGATCCTGTCTCAAATAAATACAATACAGTACAATAAATACTGAAATGTGGCCAGGCATGGTGACCCACACCTTTAAGCCCAGCACTTTAGGAGACCAAGGTGGGAAGATCACTTGAGGCTGGGTGTTCAAGGCTGCTGTGAGCTATGATCACACTACTGCACTCCAGCCTGAGCAATAGAGTGAGATCCTGTGTATAAAAATAAAATGAAATGCTTAACCTGGGCATCAATAAGGACCAATTTTTAAAATTTAACTTTGTAGCTGCATTAGATTTTTCTGAAGGGGTTTTTTGTGTTGTTCGCTACGGTTTTTTGAAAAAGGGAAGAGTTAACAGTTTGAGGAAAAGCAGTTCAACTTAGTGGATGATGGTTACTGTGCTGGATATTTTGGTTGAGTTCTTCCATTTTCTTTTGCAGTGTACATAAATTAAACAGAAAAACCTTTTACACCTGCATTTTAACTTTGGTCATACAAATTATAAATAACACAATAAAAATAAAATTTAGCATGTTGATTGTAAGAGACTTTAGAAAACTCTTCACTGTTAAGCCACCAGACCATTCTAAATCTTTATAAGGAAACATGCCTTTCTTGTGAGACACACAGGAGAGCGAACTCAAAGAAAAATAAACTTTTTTAAAAATAAAGAATGTTTAAGGAGATAAACTTTAATTTTTAAATTAATTTTTAAACCTCAACTAGCTGACTTTTAAAAATGTGTCCCTCCTCATCTCCTTTCTTCTCCGAATACAGAGTTTTACATCTGACAGCAGCAGCCTCTGAGCAGAATAAGGTGTACTTTGGTAACTACTGTTCTGACTGCTCATCCTGAAAGCTCTTAGTGAACATAGACGCTCTCTTGACTGTAAATATGAAAACCAGGTTCTTTCCTTGCTCCACAGAGCTTCTAAGAGACTATTTCTCTTTTCCTTTCATTATTTTTAGTCTTGGTGCATTTTCCACAGGTGTCTAGAAAGCCCATTCCCTGGTACAGCAAGCAACAGGATATGACGGAATATATGTTTGTTTGTTAAGGTTTTCTCCCCATTCTCTAAAAGCCAAACAAATTTAAAAATTTTTCTTTCTTGTATAATGACTTTTTCTTAGGCGATATAAAATAGATTCTCTTTTTTTAAAAAAATTGTCACTTTCAATGGCATTGGGGTTGGTTCCTGGTTTTTGCTTTTGTGAATAGTGCAGCAATAAACGTGAGTGTGCTTTTTGGTAGGGCAGTTTTTGTTCCTCTGGGTATATTACCAGGAGAAGGATTGCTGAATTGTATGGAATGCCAGTTTTTAGTTCTTGAAAAATTGCCACACTGCTTTCCATAGAGGTTGAACCAGCTTACACTCCCACCAACAGTGTAGACGCGTTCCCTTTTCACTGCACTGACCCCAGCCAGCATCTCTTGTTTTTCGACTTGTCAGTGATAGCCATCCTTACTGGAGTTAGGCAGTATCTAATTATAGTTTTGATTTGTATCTCTCTGATGATTAACCAGGCTGAGTATTTTTTCATGTGTTTGTTACCTGCTTGTGTATCTTCTTTTGAAGAATACCTATTCATGTCCTTTACCCACTTTTTAATGGGTTTGTATGTTTTTTTACTTTCATCTCGTTTGAGTTCCTTGTAGATCCTGGATGTTAGGCCTTTGTCAGATACTTAATTAGCAAATATTTTTTGCCATTCTGTGGGTTGTCTCCCCACTCTCTTGCTGGTTTCTTTTGCTGTGCCAAAGCTTTCCAGTTTGATGAGGTCCCGCTTGCCCATCTTAGCTATTATGGCTTTCGCTTTTGGGGATTTGGTCAAGAATTTGTTGCCTATTCCAATGTGCATAAGAGTGTTTCCTATGTTTTCTTATAGGTTTCTTATAGTTTAAGGTTTTATGTTTAGGACTTTGATCCATTTAGAGTAGATTTTTGTATTTGGTGATAGGTAGGGGTTCAGTTTCATTCTTCTGCATGTGATCAACCAGTTTTCCCAGTACCATTTGCTGAATGTGGTCTCCTTTCCCCAGTGGTTGTTATTAGTGGCTTTGTAGAAGATGAGTTAGTTAAGAGACTGAAGTTTTGCTTCCAGAAAGTAGACTGGATTTTTAAAAATGTGGTATATATACATGCTGGAGTATTATGCAGCCATAAAGAAGAACAAAATCATGAACTTTGCAGCAAATTGGATGGAGTTGGAGACCATAATACTTAGTGATCTATCACATAAACAAAGAACTGAATACAACATGTTCTCACTCATAAGTGGGACCTGAACATTAATCACATTAGCACAAGGGAGGGATTGGCAGTCACTGGGCACCGACAGGGAGGGAGCAAGGGAGGAGGGGCACGTAAACACAAAGGATATACGGTCCCAACCAGGGGAAGTGAAGGCCAGTTGGAGACCCAAACTTCACTTGCATGCAACCTTCTTGTGTAGTCAATCCTTACTTGCACCTCACATCTCTATAATAAAGTTTAAAATCTAAAAATTGTGTTGGCCAGGCAGAGTGGCTCACACCTGTAATCCTAGCACTTTGGGAAGTCGAGGTGAGAGGATTGCCTGAGCCCAGGAGTTCAAGACCAGCCTGGGCAACTTGATGAGACCTCATCTCTACAATAAATTTTAAAAGTATCTGGGAGTGGTGGTGCGCATCTGTAGTTCCAGCTACTTGGAAGGCTGAGTCGGAAGGATCGCCTGAGCCCGGCAGGTCAAGGCTGCAGTGGCTGTGAGTGTGCCTGGGTGACAGACTGAACCTCTTACTCAAGCAAAAAAAATATATATGTATATGTGTGTGTGTGTGTGTATTTTTATATATACATATATACATTTTTATATACACATATATATATTTTTTACTTTTAGATTGGAAATGATATTACTTGGAGCATTGGCGAAGTTTAAAAATTTTTTAAATTGTCACAATAATATCACTTCTTTGGAATTAATGTTAGTTCCACGTCTTAAATTAGGGTTTCTTGTAAGTGGAATCCATTGTAGTACACATCACCATCTGTAATTATTTACATATTATTTACTTTTTACGTCTTCTGCCTTCATCCCTATGATGTAAGCTCCATGAGAAAAAGGAGCTGTGCCCCTATTTTCTTCAGGATCCCTCGGTCACAGCAGACATTCCATTAGTATGTGTGGAATGAATTGCATGATCTCTCAATTCCTAGTCAGGCTTCAGGATGTGCATTTTTTGCTGGGGAAAAATTTCTACAACATTCTTAAAATAAAATTTAAAATTTAAAAATTAAAAAAATTTACTGGCACGATGGCTCACGCCTGTAATCCTAGCACTTTGGGAAGCCGAGGTGAGAGGATTGCCTGAGCCCAGGAGTTTGAGACCAGTCTGGGCAACTTGGTGAGATCTTGTCTCTATAATAAATAGTCTGCCTTTGTTTAGATTAAATGTTGTTTAATAATCTACTTTTTTACTTCCTATTTTAGCTTTTTAAAAAAAGTTTAGGGTCGGGCTTAGTGGCTCAGCCTGTAATCCCAGCACTTTGGGAGGCCGAGGTGAGTGGATTGCCTGAGCCCGGGTTCGAGACCTGCCTGGGCAACTCGACGAGACCTCATCTCCACTACAAATCAAAAATAGCCGGGCGTGGTAACATGCACCTGTAGTTCCAGCTACTTGGAAGGCTGAGGCGGCAGGATCGCCGGAGCTCAGCAGGTTGAGGCTGCGGTGGCCGGGAGCAGCCATTGCACTCCAGTCTGGGTGACAGAGTGAGACTCCAATTCAAAAAAAAAAAAAAAAAGTTTAGGTTGTAAATAAATGCTTCCCATTTATCTAGTAAGTATCTTGTTGCGCTTCA